CACCACGCCTGGCTGGTATTTTTAGTAAAGATGGGGTTTCACCATGTTGGCCAGGCTGGTCAGCAACTCCTGACCTCAGATGATCCGCCTGCCTCAGCCTCCCAAAGTGCTGAGATTACCAACATGAGCCACTGCACCTGGCCAAAAAAAGACTGAAAGAAAAATAGAGGGGCTTTGAAAGGGTAAAACAGGAGGCAACCTAAAGTAGACCAAGGGTCTCCAGAAGGGCCTCCCTGAGCAAGGAACATTTAATCACAGACCCAGGTAGGAGTTTGGTGAAAGGGGTTGTGGAAGATGTTGGTATCATTTATTGGGGGTGAGAACTAGTATAAACATCTGCTTTGGAGGGAAATAATCATGAATTCAATCTGGGAAACATTGGTTGCCAATGTGCTGAGAAGGGCCTGTGAGACATCTAAGTAAAAATAATTCATTGGGAGGTTCAGTGGACTAAAAAGTTTGGAAAATAGAGACTGTAGATAGGAATTTTTTTTTTTTTAATCTCCTTGGGTTTTATGGTGATAAGACTTTGAGAGTCATCAGCATATGGAAAATCTCACCAGCCAGGATGAGGTACCCAGAGATACCAGGTGAGAAGAGAGGACTGCTGACATGTGAAGAGCAAGCGGAGGAGGCAGGCAGACAGGAAGGAGGAAGTTGAAAGACTGGAGCAGTCTGTATTATCATCATCATCATTGTTATTGTTATTTAGAGACAGGGTCTCTGTTACCCGGGCTGGAGTACAGTGGCACAATCATGGCTTATTGCAACCTTGACCTTCTGCGCTCAAGCCATCCTCCTGCCTCAGCTTCCCATGTAGCTAGGACTACAGGTGTGCACCACCACACCTGGATGATCTTTTCATTTTTTGTAGAAGTGGGGTCTTGCTAGATTGTGCAGGTTGGTCTTGAACTCCTGGCCTCAGGCTGTCCTCCCACCTCAACCTCCTAAAGCACTGGGATGCCACCATGCCCAGCCTGTTATTAAATACTGCTAAGAGTTTGTGCAAGATGAGGACTAAAATGTAAATGGTAGACTTGTAGACTTGGCCACTCAGTAATAAGCATAGATTAGTAAGTGCAAAGGCAGGGTAGATGCCAGATTAGAGACAGCTGGAAAGCTTGTGGTCATAAGGGTGAGGTGATGAAACAGCAGATAAACAGCTCCTCTGATAAATTTCTCTACAAAGAGGAGAGGACAAAAGAGGGGCTGGCATTGAAAGAGAGATGAGATCACCTTCTCAACACTGCCACACTGGGGATTAAGTTTCAGCAGGAGTTTCAGACAAACATTGCCATCATAGCCACCCCCCTTCTCATGCCGCCCAGGCTTGGACCCCAGCCTGCCCTGCACCCTAACAACATAGCCACAGGACATGAGCCCCAAGGCCACCTACCCCCTGCCACACTCAGGAGTCCCACCCAGTCTTCCTGAAAGGCTCCCACTCTTCCTTCTTCTCTTCCAGGCAGGATGGCCTTACCTCACACACTCCTCCTTCCTGTTCAAATCAGGTACCCCTTCTCCCTCCTCTTTTTTAGGATGGCAGACTTGAGCACTTTTTTTTTTTTTTTTTTTTTAAGACAGAGTTACACTCTGTCGCCTAGGCTGGAGTGCAATGGCGCAATCTCAGCTCACTGCAACCTCTGCTTGCCAGGTTCATCGATTTTCCTGCCTCAGCCTCCCAGTTAGCTGGGATTACAGGCGCATGCCATCACCTCCAGCTAATTTTTTGTATTTTTAGTAGAGACAGGGTTTTGCCATGTTGTCCAGGCTGGTCTCAAACTCCTGACCTCAGGTGATCCACCTACCTTGGCCTCCCAAAGTGATGGGATTGTAGGAATGAGCCACCGCGCCCGCCCTGGCTTCAACACATTTAAATCCTGATAAGGAAAATCTAAGAAGGAGAAGCTGAAGGTAGGAAAGAAAAGGGATCCTCACCAGTGGAAGGATTTTGAACTCCAGCATGCTTTCGAAGGGTGGGGTGCGTATAGGTGCAGGCAGAGAAGAGCGTGGGGGAAGCAGGTTAGGGGAGAATAAAGAGGAGCATTGACCAGGGAAACAACACGGAAGATTTGCCTACAGAATGGAACTCACCAGCCCATTGTCGTGTGATTTAACCTGTACTTATTCAAAGACAACTTGGACAGTTTTTTTTTATTTGAGACTGGGTGTCTTGTGTTACCCAGGATAGAGTGCAGTGGTGCAATCATGGTTCACTGCAACCCTGCCTCTCAGGCTCAAGTGATTGTCCTACCTTAGCCTCTGAGTACCTGGAACCACAGCTGTGGACCACTACTCCCAGCTGTCTTTTTGTATTTTTAGTAGAGATGGGGTGTCCCCACGTTGCCCAGGCTAGCCTTGAACTCCTAAGCTCAAGCGATCCGCCCCGCTCAGCCTCCCGCCATGCTAGGATTACAGGTGTGAGCCACAGCACCCCGCCAACAGTTTTTCTTTACTCTTTAATCTGTCAGTAAGTGTTTTGCTTCCACCACTGTACCAGTTAATGAAAGTCAAAGAAATTGAAAATAAAGAAATGCCTATTTACCACTGACTAATTCTTTTTTTTTTTTTCTTCTTCTTTTGAGACGTAGTCTCACTTTTTCGCCCAGGCTGGAGTGCAGCAGTGCAGTCTCGGCTCGCTGCAACCTCCGCCTCCCAGGTTCAAGTGATTCTTCTACCACAGCCTCCCCTGAGTAGCTGGGATTACAGGTGTGCACCACCATGCCCGGCTAATTTTTGTATTTTTAGTACAGACAGAGTTTCACCATGTTGGCCAGGCTGGTCTCGAACTCCTGACCTCAAGGGATCCGCCTGCCTTGACCTCCCAAAGTGTTGGGACTACAGGCATGAGCCACTGCACCCGGCCACCACTACCTATTGTTAGCCATGCTGGGAAGAAAGCTGAAACCATGTTAAAATGACATTTAGGGATTGCCTGTCTCGTGTATTCTTATTTTCCCTTTACAGAAGTAACCTCTCGCTTTCTCAATTTTTAGGCCTTTTCTGATGCCATTAAAAAATGGCAGGAGCTATCACCAGAAACCAGTGGAAAAAGGAAGAAGAGAAAAGAAATGAACCAGTATTCTTACATCGATTTCAAGTTTGAACAAGGTAATGCAAACTGTGTTGCTGGCAGTGTGTAGCTGCAACACGGTACCTTTTCTTCTTCACAGTCAGTGAAGGAAGCCGTGCTACAGGTGTCTGCCGAGCATCTGGCCATGCCAGTCCGAGGAGTGACTGACAGGAACTATTTTTTCAGCACATCGAAATTTTTAGAAAGTGGCTGCACTTGTTGGCCTCTTCCTTCCTACTTAAGATAAACCATGGCAGGAAAATTTTGTGTGGTAGAAAATTCATGTGTGAGAAAGTATTTGAGTATGCTGTTAAGCTTGGGGAAAAAACTGGTCTTGAAGGTTTGATGAGAATTGGCTGTGTTGTTAGGTAAAAACTGCCCAGACTTATGAATGAGGCCTTACTGCGGAGGGTCACTTATGCAACTGAGAGAATGGCCAATAGCCGCATGTTTCTCCAAAATTCTGTCATTCTTATTGATGAAATAACTGCTGAAAACCCTTTCAAAGAGGTTACTTCAGGTCTCATCCCCAGAAATGTAAACTTGAGTTTTATAACAACTCAGATTTTATCTGAGTTGCTTCTACCCAGTAAAGGAGTTACTACAACTTTTTTAGACATCATCCCTTTCTGTTATGTGTGCACTTAATTACCACACTTGATTTCAGGTATGACTAAGTGGGAACTCAGGTAACTATAAAGCTGGAAAGTATTTGTATTTGCTATGAAATTTTCAGGATCTAAAAGCAAATTGCTTAGGTTATGACTCCTAAGGTTCCCAAGCCAGTGTGTGGAGCAGTGCTCTGCTAACATGGCATTCTCCTGACCTGCGGCAGAATGTAGAACTACGGGCACTGTGTAGGTGGTTTTTCATTCAGCCAAATTTACCCACAGTTCAGAGCAGGCATCCTTGTACATAGCCATACAGCGTTTGTTTCTGACTTCAGTAGTGGAGAAAGTGCTGCTTTGCAAGATGGTTGACTCCCTTGTTGGTCAGCTCCGTCTTTTAGACAGTTCTTCCTTTGTATTAAGTAAGCGTGTACTTCCTGAAATGTCTTGCCATGGTTGTAGTTCTTGCCTGTGGAGAGACAGATTCTGGCTGTTGCCCCTTTGTCAGCCTGACTGCCCTTCTCCCTGTCCCTACGTGCCCTTCTCTAGCTTGTCAGGGTCTCTTTGAAAGTTGGGGTGTAGAAGACTGGACATCATACTCTACATGAGGTCTGCTCACATTCAACCTTGGTCTTTTCACCCACATTGCTGTCAGGTCATACACCTCTCTCAGTTTCGCTGCATCTCACATTTTTCCCTGTTAACTTCATTTTATTTGATTCAGTCCCTTGTTCTAGGATAGCGCTTTAATTTAGATGTGATTCTTAAATTTTACTTATCAGGTAATCTTTAAGGACCCTGGAAGCATGAGATAAAAAATACACTTGATTTATGTTAATAGTTTAACATTTATGATTCACACTTAGCCTTTTTTAACAGCTTTTTATAAGGACACAGGCTAAAAATCTCTCATCTGTTCCAGGCATCCCATTTTTCTCCTTTTCAGTTTGTTTTCCATCTAAGCACTGCTCTTTGGGCTATAATTGCTTGACTCAAAGAGTGAGACAGGGTCTCCCTCCTCTGTCCTTTTTATAGTCATACAGGAAAATACATTAGAGGAAAGTTTGTAGACTTAATTGCATTTATTTTTAAAAATAAAGGACTGAAAATAAATCTTATTACTTTAACATGAGTACAAAAAGAACTGAGTAAAGATGAAAGAAAAATAGAGGGTGAAAACATTTTTTAATTTCTAGCATTGATAATTATAGTAATTAACATTTATCGAGAACTTAATATGTACCAGTCACTTTTCTAAGTGCTTTAATGGATTAATTCATTTATGTTTCAAATAGCCTTATGAGATGTATGTCCTGTTATTATCATTTTATAGAAAAAAACTGAAGCACAGAAAGGTTAAGTAACTTGGCACATGTTACACAGCTAGCGAGTAGCTGAGCTGGGAATCTGGCTTCAAAGCTTACTCTCTAAACATGTGCTTTTCCATTCTCATAATACCAAAAACTTTTTTTGTTGTTTGTTTTGTTTTTAATTTTGAGACGGAGTCTGCTTCCCAAGCTCAAGCGATTCTCCTGCCTCAGCCTCTCAAGTAGCTGAGATTAGTCACAGGTGTGTGTGCCATCACGCCTGGCTAATTTTTGTATTTTTAGTGGAGACGGGATTTCACCATCTTGGACAGGTTGGTCTTGAACTCCTCACCTCAGATGATGTGCCCTCCTTGGCCTAAAAGTGTTGGGATTACAGGCGTGAGCCACTGCGCCTGACCCCAAAAACTGGTTTACTGAAGAAAAGATTTGAATTTTAAAAAACATGAAAAGGAGCAAGAGAAAAGGAGAATCAAAATAAAATGTATTAGGAACCAGATAGTAAATGTTAAAATCAAGAGATTACCAAGAACAGACAAGAGTACATTGAAAATCTGGATGAGATAAAGTTTTGTAGAAAAACATAAATTGGTCAGGCATTGTGCCTCACACCTGTTATCCCAGCACTTTGGGAGGCCAAGGCTGGTGGATTTTTTGAGCCCAGGACTTCAAGACCCGCCTGGACAACATGGCAAATACAAAAAAAATTAGCTGGGCATAGTGGCATCTGCCTGTATAGTCCCAGCTCCTCAGGAGGCTGAGGTGGAAGGGTCGCCAGGGCCCAGGAGTTGAGGCTGTAGTTATCTGTGAATGTGCCACTGCGCTCCAGCCTGAGCAACAGAGCGAGACTCTGTCTCCAAAAAGAATATCATAAATTGCCAAATCAACAAAAGAAATACAAAACCTAAACAGATCAATTACATGTCTGATATTTGTCATTCTGCTGTCTTTTATTCTCATAATACATTGTGGTGAATATAGGTACTATTCCTTCAGCCCCTTGTATATTTGAATGCTTTCAAAATAAAAATGGTTGAAAAACATATAGCACATTTGCACCCACCAGAATGGCTAAAATTAAAAACCGAGGATAGGTGTTGATAAGGACATGGAGAGACTGGAACTCACATGCGTTGCTGATAGAGGAAGGGTGTAAACTGGTACAACCACTTTGGAACACTGGCATTATTTTCTAAAGCTGGAAGTAAGCCTATCCCATGATCTAGCAATTCCCAGCTAAATTGCGGACATACATTCACCAACAAATGGCTATAAGCAGCACTATTCAGATTAACCCAAAACAGTAAACCCAAATGTCCTCAGTAGTGAAATAGATAATAAATTGTGGTATAATCACATAGTACACTAGTGACAGAATAGGAGATGCCTTCCAATTGGAGCATAAAGAGAGGGAAAGAACCAGAATGGTCAAAAAATGGATGGTAGGTTGGCAAATGGTAAGAAACCCAGTCTTCCCAAATGGTAGAGTGTGATAGAGAAGTCATGAAACGAACCGCCAGAGAGAAGAGGGAGGATGAGGCCGGGAAGAATGGACATGGCTGGCCCAGATTCCTAACACACAGTTGTCTACATGCTTTTGCATTGTCATATGTCTTCTAGGTGACATAAAAATAGAAAAGAGGATGTTCTTTCTTGAAAATAAGCGACGACATTGTAGGTCCTATGACCGGCGTGCTCTCCTTCCAGCTGTGCAACAAGAGCAGGAGTTCTATGAGCAGAAAATCAAAGAGATGGCAGAGGTAGGAAGATGTGCTCTGGTCTTGGGGTGTGTTTCTGGGATTCTGGTTTGCTCTTAGGGTTTAGTTAGTACAAAACTGACTTTTAAGATTTCCCTTTTCTTCAGAGTGGTGAATTTGGATATATGCAAAGTTTTTAAAAAGAAAAAACCTGGGTTTTGTCATAATACTTATGTTTGTGGTTTCATAAATCAGATTTATGTTAGAAAATTTTAATTGGAGCTCTGTGTATCTATTTTACCTCCTCCACCAGCCTCAGTTCCATTTCGCTCTTTAATTTTTCTTAATACAGTATCAAATGTGCAAGTTGGGTGGAATGTATATATTGATTGTTTAATAAGTATCTTCTAAACCAGTGGCTCTCAAAGTGTGACCCAGAGATCCCTGGGTTTCCCAAGACTCTCTTGGGGGTCTACGAGGTCAAACCTCTTATAACTATACTAAGACATTACAGTGACCCTTGAACAACATGAGAGTTAGGAGTGCTTCCCCCTGTGCAGTTGAAAGTCTGCGTATAATGTTTGCCCCAAAACTTCACTGTGAACAGCCTGCTGTTGACAGGAAGCCTTACCCATAACAGTCGATGAACACGTTTGGTATGTTTTGTGTATTACATGCTGTATTCTTACAATAAGGTAAGCTAGAGAAAAGAAAATGTTATTAAGAAAATGATAAGGAAAATATATTTAGTATTCATTAAATGGTAGTGTGGGTCAGCATGAGAAGGTCTTTGTCTTCATGGTCTTCACGTTGAGTAGGCTGAGGAGGAGGGGTGTGCTGGTTTTGCTGTCTCAGGGTGACAGAAGCAGAAGAAAATGAGCACATAAGTGGGTCCCCACAGTTCACACCTCTGTTGATCAAGGTCAGCTGTATTTGCTTTTTCACCATATTGAATTTGTACCAGCAGAAGCAAAGCAGTGGTGCCTTGGCATGAATCAGACCAGTGGCATAGAGCCATCCTCATAATCTTTGTTTTCTTCACCACCATGCGCTTACATTTTTAAGACACACCAGTTTCACCTATAAATGTCTTTGATAAAGCAGTAAAAATTATATTACCAAATTTTGACCCTTGAAAACATCTTTTCAATATTCTGTGTAATAAAATGAAGTCTTCATAAAGTGCTTCCGCCACATCCCAGGATATGAAGCTTGTCTTATATCCAGGTATGAGGAAAGCGCTTGTGCAATTGAGACGCAAAGCAGCTGCATTGGCCACTTTTTACTTGGAAAAAAGTGACAGAAAAACTGTGATTGTTCAAAATTAGGTATTTGGCAGGCATTTTTTCAAAAATGAATGAAGTGATTATTTTTGACCAAAATTCTAGATTTTAAGCAGAAATTAGAATTTATTATCTTAATCCATCTGTTACAGAATGACATTCATTAATATCACCAATCTTATCAGATAAGTATTTAAAGTATTAGCAAATTGATGAATGCCGTCCATTGTCATTTATTCTTGGTGATATTCACATTGTCCCGTCTCTGACTAGTGGCTGCCCCTTCAAGTTAGTCTCTCTTACCCGACTCCTGTAGTCTCTGACAGTGTCTCTGCTTCTGGGCACAGCAAGATGACCCCGTTCCAACTTCTGCTTTCTCTCACCTGGACTCAACAATTTCTCCAAAGTGCCTTCTTTGCTTTTTTTTCTTTTCTTTTTTGACAGAGGAGCTCCATATGTTACCGAAGCTGGAGTGCAGTAGCACATTCATGGCTTACTGCCTTAACCTCCCGGACTCGAGCAGTCCTTCCACCTCAGCCTCCTGAGTATCTGGGACTGCAGGTGTACACCACCACACCTGGCTAACTTTTTTTCTATTTGTAGAGCCTGGATTTCCCCATGTTGTCCAGGCTGGTCTTAAACTTCTGGCCTCAAGCCTTCCTCCCAACTTAGCCAACCAAGTTGTTGGGGTTACAGGCATACACCACCATGCCTTGCCAACTTTATTTTCTTTTCTCTGATGCTAAAAGTCTTGGTTCTTAATGACATTAATAACATTATTCTTGTCAGATTATATCTGAGAATATAAAATTAAAATATCTTAAAGTCGCTTGAAATATGTCTTGGTGCTTATGCCATTAAGTTGATAAACAAGTTTATAGGCACGGTGGCTTATGCATGTAATCCCAGCACTTTGGGAGGCCAAGGCAGGTGATCATTTGAGGCCAGGAGTTCAAGACCAGCCTGGCCAACATGGCAAAACTCTGTCTCTACTAAAAATACAAAAAATAGCTGGGCATGTAATCCCTCCAAGTAGCTTCGTGTAATCCCAGCTACTTGGGAGGCTGAGGCACGAGAATTGCTTGAACCTGGGAGGTCGGGATTGGTTGCAGTGAGCCAAAATCGTGCCACTGCACTCCAGCCTGGGCAACAAAGCAAGACTCTATTTCAGGAAAAAAAAAAAAAAAAAAAGTTTATTTCTTTCTGTTTATTTTGAACTTTTAGAGAATTGGGTTTTTTTATCTAATTTTGTAAAAAAAATTTAGTTTTGAAATCAAAACTATAAAACAAGGAATATTCAGAAAAATCTAGCTTTTGTCCTGTCCCTTTCTCCCACTTTCCTTTGTTTGTTTGTTTTTTGAGACAGAGTCTTGCTCTGTCACCCAGGCTGGAGTGCAGTGTCAGGATCTCGGCTCACTGCAACCTCTGACTCCCGGGTTCAAGGGATTCTCCTGCCTCAGCCTCCTGAGTAGCTGGGATTATAGGCGCGAGCACCATGCCTGGCTAATTTTTTGTATTTTTAGTAGAGACGGGGTTTCACCATGTTGACCAGACTGGTCTAAAACTCCTGTCCTTAAGCGATCCATCCACCTTGGCCTCTCAAAGTGCTGGGATTATAGGCGTGAGCCACTGCACCCGGCCCCTACTTTGTTTATATATAACCATTATTGTTAGTCTTTGATTTATTTTTCCTTATTTATGGAAAAACAAATATGTATACTATTTTTATTTACCCGTCCGTCTTACCAGATAGTAGCAGAGTTTTCCAGGCGTAGTAGCTCACACCTGTAGTCCCAGCTACTCAGGAAGCTGAGGCAGGAGGATCTCTTGAGCCTGGGAGGTTGAGGCTGCAGTGAGCCAGGATCACACCACTGCACTCCATCCTGGGCGACAGAGTGAGATGCTGTCTCACAAATAATTTAATGTAATCCCAAATGGTGAAGAACTCTTCTGTGACTGCATTTTTCGTTTAACCATGCATCCTGGCAATCACTCTGTGGCAATTCATAGGAGTTTTTCTCTTTCCTTTTTGAAACTGGCTGGTATACCATTTTATGTAATACCACAGTTTATTCAGTCATTCCCCTGTTGATGGACGTTTAGGGTTTCCAGGTTTTCGTGGTTATAAATAGTGCCATGATAAGTTTATGCATACATCATTCCCTGTTTCTGCCCAGGTGCATCTTTGGGCTAGACTCTTGGAAGTGGCATTGATGACTCTGTGCCAGTGTCCCGCCAGTGTGGTTGTCCTGCTTTGCATTTTCACCAGTAATGTGTAAGGGTGCCCACTACCACACAGCCTCGCCAACGAAGTCTGTTGTCAAACAGTTTTTGTTTGTTTTTTGAGACAGAGTTTCACTCTTGTTGCCCAGACTAGGGTGCAATGGCGCGATCTCAGGTCACTGCAACCTCTGCTTCCCGAGTTCAAGTGATCTTCCTGCCTCAGCCTCCCAAATAGCTGGGATTACATTCGCACGCCGCCACACCCAGCTAATTTTGTATTTTTGGTAGAGACAGGGTTTCTCCATGTTGGTCAGGCTGGTCTCGAACTCCTGATCTCAGGTGATCTGCCCGCCTCAGCCTCCCAAAGTGCTGCTATTACAGGCATGAGCCATCCCGCCCAGCCAAACTTAGTTTTCATTTGTTCAATTTGTTTTTGTTGATGCTATTCTTTGCTATTCAAAGTGTTTTGTGTGTCAGCCTTTTCCCTTATTTATTCTACATTTTGAGTCATACTTAAGAAAAATTGTCCTGTATTTTCTAGCTCTCTGATCCACTTACAATTTATTCACAGGTAACTTTTTGAACTGCCAACCTGTGTAATTGAAGAGATCACAGTACTGGAGTTATGTTTATGGAAATGAATACTAAATGGTTAGTGTCATTTTTACTGAATTTGTGTCTGAGTGTGTCCTTTTTTTGTTCTTCAGCATGAAGACTTTTTGCTTGCCCTGCAGATGAATGAAGAACAGTATCAAAAGGTACTTTGAAATCTCACCTTGTTTATTCTGGGCATTTTCATGGGCTGTTTTCTCTTACCATGTTTTGTCAGCATTTTTGATGGCAAATTTGTTTTTGGATAACCTCCTGTTGATTTGCTGAGTTTGCAGTTCAGCCAAGTTACAGTCAGATACATGATCTAGTATAGTCACTCTTATACCACACTGAATCAGAATTGAAGGGGAGATAATAGATGTTCCCATTGAAAATCATTACATGACGTTCATTAGATAGACTTATAAAGGAAAGTTTACAGCTTAGATATCACTTTAAAGTTAAAGAGATATGTCTAACCTCAGGGCAAGATGGGTTTCTGTATGGTGTCTGCTGCCCTCATACAGTGAGCTTTTCTTTATTTATTTATTTATTTATTTTTTCAAACGGAGTCTTGCTCTGCCACCAAGGCTGAAGCGCACTGCAACCTCTGCCTCCTGCGTTCAAGCGATTCTCCTGTCTCAGCCTCCCGAGTACCTGGAACTACAGTCATGTGCCACCATGTCCAGCTAATTTTTGTATTTTTAGTAGAGACGGGGTTTCACCATGTTGGCCAGGCTGTCTCAAACTCCTAACCTTAGGTGATCCATCCATCTCAGCCTCCCAAAGTGCTGGGAACAGGTGTGAACCACTACGCCCGGCTGGTGACCTTTTCTAATGTGGTATTAAGAATGAGCTGGTGGCCGGGCATCATGGCTCATGCCTGTAATCTCAGCACTTTGAGAGGCTGAGATGGGAGGATTGCTTGAGCCTAGGAGTTTGAGACCAACCTGGTCAACATAGCAACACCCCATTTCTAATAAAAATTAAAAATAAATAAAAGAATGGCACTGGATGCGGTGGCTCACACCTGTAATCCCAGCACTTTGGGAGGCCAGGGTGAGCAAATCACAAGGTCAGGGGTTCGAGACCAGCCTGGCAAACATGGTGAAACCCCGTCTCTACTAAAAATACAAAAAATTAGCGGGGCGTAGTGGTGGGCGCTTATAATTCCCCGCTACTCAGGAGGCTGAAGCAAGAGAATTGCTTGAACCTGGGAGGTGGAGGTTGCAGTGAGCCGAGATTGCGCCTCCAGCCTGGGCGATAGAGTGAGACTCTGTCTCAAAAAAAAAAAAAAAAAGAATGAGTTGGTGATTGGATCATTTGCTGATTGGATCAGTTGCTGTGGTTAATAAAAGGAGTCAATAGCTTGGTACATTATTTGAGATTGCTGCTTTAATTAGCTTCAGTAGTCCCTTAAAATAAAGCTCAGACTTGGATACCACCAGTCCTATGACAAGAACAAAATTCAACTTTTGAAAGCATTTTGGTTAATATCTCTTGTGTTCCTTATCCTTGCTTTTTATAATCACATTAGCATCTGAGTGCAGATGTTCTAGTCCCTTTGCACCATGGGATTGAATATGATAACTTTATACAAAGAATTACTCTAAAGAATACCAGACAAAACCCATGAAAACGTCGCTGTTTTAGGTGTGGATTACTGTTGTGCTAGTATCTTGAGCTAAATTTATATAGCACGAAACAGCATATCATTGTTTTATGGCCTCTAAAATGGGTTGCTTTTTACCTCAGAATTTGTTTGGGGGGTGGGAGAGAGATGAGGATGGGAGACAAGGCTCTCCCTCTGCTTAAGTGCAGGACATTTCATGTGTGTTTCTTGACTGCCTGCAGGACGGCCAACTGATTGAGTGTCGCTGCTGCTATGGGGAATTTCCATTCGAGGAGCTGACGCAGTGCGCAGATGCTCACTTGTTCTGCAAAGAGTGTCTCATCAGATATGCCCAAGAGGCAGTCTTTGGATCTGGAAAGGTAAGAACTGTGTAATATGTCTCATGTATATAGGACACATTCCTGGAGTCTAAGGAGACCATGTTGATAGATAAGTGTAAGTTCCTCTTTCAGGGTGAGGTGGAATTTTGCTGGTGTGCTTATGGGCATTACCTGTTGTGTGTGATTATGTGGGTTCTCTAAGCACAGCAGATTTCTTTTCAGGGAGCAGTAGAATTCTTCCACGCCCCCATGCCTAGCTGCAGAGGAGCACCGGCTTCACTCATCTTCTTATTCATAATCAGAGGGAAGCTTACCTCCGAAAGAGAGAACCTTGCAGCCTATTGGATTAAATATATATTAAAATAACATAACTTACTTTGCACAAGATCATATTTCTCTCTCCAAAGTCAGTTTCTCTGGACATCACCATAACAAACACAGTATGGGAATTTTACATTGTTTTACACCGCTAAGTTTGTGGTATTTTGTTCCAGCAGCAATATAAAGTTAACACAGTGATTAAGAAGATGACTTTTTGCCTGGGCACAGTGGCTCATGCCTGTAGTCCTAGCACTTTGGGAGGCCAAGACAGGTGGATTACCTGAGGTCAGGAGTTTGAGAACAGCCTGGCCGACATGGTGAAAACCCATCTCTGCTAAAAATACAAAAATTAGCCAGGTGTGGTGGTGGGTGCCTGTAATCCAGCTACTCAGGAGGCTGAGTGAGCCAAGATCGCACCACTGCACTCCAGCCTTGGTGATGGCGAGACTCTGTCTCAGAAAAATAAATGAATAAATAAAGTTTCTGTTTTTTCAAAGAGCATGACATTTGGAGTCAAGCAGAATGCATTGGGCCATGCCCCCCGTCAGCCATACAAGCTCTGTGATCTTGAGCAAATTAAATGCCTTAAACCTCAGTTTCTTCCTCTGTAAAATGGAAATAATCATAGTATTGTTTTGAAAGCTAAATGAGGTCATGAATTTAATAAACTTACTCTTTGACACATGGTAAATGCCTCATAAATTTTGGCTATTTTTAAGATGTTGTCTTTTTCCATTTGTTTTCTTTGATGTCTGTCTTTCATGTGGGATGCATTCCTCATGTCTGACACTTTTTGTTCATGTTAAAGAGCTGTTGGAAAGCAGTGTGAGTAGTGGGGCTTATAGAGCAGTGGGTTTGACTCTAGGTGCCTAGGAGCCAGTTAACTTTTATATTATGAACCTGAATGGCCCTTAAGTCTCTTCCCTGGGGTGATTCAGTCTGCCTCCTACCTCGTGTGTGTGAGTCCATTTTCCGATATTCTGGAACTGAGTGGGAGGAAGGGGCTGGAGAATTCTCTGTTCATTATGTAGACTTCATTTCAGACTCTGACTTCAGGCCCCCTCAGCTCTGCTCTTCTCTATGACTGGTTCCCAGGCCAGTGCCTTGTGGTCTAGCTGTTCAGATCTTCCTCATTTCTCTCAGAGTCAGCCAGTTCCTTCTGAAGGGGGTAGGAACTAGAGGCTCCACCCATCTCCCTGTTTTCAGTTTATTACTTTGAGTCCCCACCCCTCCCCACCACTCAGCTCTGCTTTCCAGAGGGTCTCCAGCTTTCTAATATCTGTAGAGGGGACCAACTTCTCCCCAGCATCTCCTTTTCAGACCCTAAGTTATGGGCTTCTCTCTCTGGTCTGCTAAGCCATTTACCCTTGCTCCACTTTCAATCTCTGTGGATTGTGATTTGGACTGATAGAGGTCCTCTAGTGATATCAAAAATGTACTGGATTTTTGTTTCATGGTTTTTGTGATTTAATTGTGATTTCTCAGAGACAAACAGGCAGAGAGATCTTTGCTCTACTGTCTCAGGATCTATGTTTTTAACCACTGACGCTTTTTATTTTTCTATAAACGGTGTTGGTTTTTTTCTTTTTTGCCTGTTCGCCTTTTTCTAGTCGGAGCTCAGCTGCATGGAAGGCAGCTGCACGTGTTCGTTCCCAACCAGTGAGCTGGAGAAGGTGCTCCCCCAGACCATCCTATATAAGTACTATGAACGAAAAGCCGAGGAGGAGGTTGCAGCAGCCTACGCCGACGAGCTTGTTAGGTTTGTTCTCAGGCAGAGCATGCCATCTGCCACCCCTTCCCCATTGTGAAAACTACCTGGGCACTTGCATCAGATGATGAAAATTGAGTATATCTTCCAGGTTTTTTGGCATTTCTTGCTGAGAAATAAGATTATCATTAATTTTACTTACTTATTTTTATTTTTTACACCTCAAAACCATTGAGTAACCAGTAATTCTATTAATGGAAAAATCTGCGGTTCAAACTTCTTCTTTTTATTTTTTGAGATAGAATCTCACTCTGTCACCCAGTTATGGAGTACTGGAGTGCAGTGGCACAATCTCAGCTCACTACAACCTCCGCCTCCCGAGTTCAATCTATTCTCATGCCTCAGCCTCCCAAGTAGCCTGGATTACAGGTGTGCGCCACCACGTCCAGCTTTTTTTTGTCTTTTTAGTAGAGACGGGGTTTTACCATGTTGGCCAGGCTGGTCTCCAACTCCTGACCTCAAGTGATCCACCCACATCGGCCTGCCAAAGTGCTGGGACTACAGGTGTGAGCCACCGCGTCCGGCCTGCAGCTCAAACTTCTGTCTACATATCTTGGCACCCCCGATCTTCTGGCCCGTAGATACAATCATGGTGCCCTGGGCTGGAGGGAAATCGGTATATGCAAGGATTTCTCATTGAGATTGAGATGTGTTTATTGAGTGGTTTATATTGAGTCAGGACCGCAAGTGGTGCTTATGTTTCCTGATAAGAGCCAGCACAAAGAAGAGGCTCAATCTGTGTTTTCAGGAAAACTAAGGAGTATAAAGGGGATGTGAATGTCCAGCTCAAAACTCCATCTTCATATGAATAGCCACATGGAGCTGGAACCAAGTCAGTCTTTAATGTTTGAAGTAATGTCACTTCTGCTGTTCTGACTGTAGGTGCCCCTCCTGTAGCTTTCCTGCTCTGTTGGACAGTGATGTGAAGAGGTTCAGCTGTCCTAATCCTCGCTGCCGAAAGGTAGGGAGGGAAATTTTTTTTAGATGTATATTATGGTATTACGGGCTGCCCTCATGGCCCAGATATCTGCTGTTTACCTGACTGCTGATGTATAAGAAGGATTTGAGTGCTTTCCTTTTCATAAGCAAATGAGGATGAGTACTTTGTGAGTAACGGTTGACATGGTTACTGAGATGGCAGCCACTCGTGCCACTCCAGTTACAAAGCTCTGGATTCCTGTTTTATATCATCTTCTTTAGGACAGATACTGTAATGTAAAGTGGGAAGTGTTTAGTTTTTCTTCCACTGTGTCAACATTTTTCTTGCTTGCTCTCTTTACCACCTATGCTCAAATACCCCCTGCTACCCCTCCCCGCACACACACACACACCTTTTGCCATTTTCAAAGTCCAGATGACGCTTCTTTTATTAAAGAACTGGGCATCATAGTGGCATCTCCATCACATCTGGTAGGTTATTCATTTGACTGTTTCTCCTCATAAGAACTGACTGTATTAGGTGGGAACAGAGCTGTCTAGGCGCATTACTGTTGCAGATCTTTCTTCCCTTTAACTTGGCACCTACTCTGTGAACTAAGAGTGTCTTAAAATTTGTCAACTATTTAGAAGCCACTTAGAGTTTTTAGTGAATATTAGCATCCACCTAGACAAATACGTTCTAAGCCATTTTTCTAAAATTGGGTGATTAGAGTTGAACACTGCAATATCTTTGCCTTGGGGAAAGTAAAGAAATTAAGGTAGAGATTAGAAAAGGAAGAAGAAACTAAACTAATGGATCAAAACTTTATTTCTTTTGTTTTCAGCATTAATATTTCTGGCCATTTTATATGTTCGCACCCCAGGCTGTTGCTATAACAATTGTCCCAACAGTCGCTGGCATCTTGCAACTCTAAGAAAACAGAGTGCTAGGCCGGGTG